TTTTTCGAGCAAAGTGTTTTTTTACTCGTCCAAGCTTTACCCAAAAATATATATGTATATCACAGTTGCCGAATTTATACAAAATTTAGGGAAATTCCACAAATTTTCATCAAAATTTCAACTTTTTAATCTGAATCTTTAGAAAATTTTTGGGTATGCAGTTTTATAGCCCATAAAATTTTAGTCTGATAAAGTGCAAGTTTCAAACGGCTTAAAAATCGCGTTTAATTTTGAGATTTTTTTTTAGAATACTTTTTCGGTTTTTTAATATAAAAAGTCCAATTTACAAAAGCAGACGTTTTATTTCATAAGAAATTCATACTTATATGGAAAAAAGTGCAAAAATCCGTCACAGAAAAAAAATTCTCAAAAATCAGTGGCATTTTTTAGCCGTTTGAAACTGAGTAAAATTGTATGGTCATACCCAAAAATTTTCTAAAGATTTAGACTAAAAAGTTGAAATTTTGATGAGAATTTGTGGAATTTTCCTAAATTTTGTACAAAGACGTAAACTGTATTTTATAGTTAAAGCTTGGACGATATTTTTATAGAAAAGTAACAAAAAAAATTTTGATTGAAAATCATCACGAATATTTAAAGAAAATCAACACGCGGTCATTTGTTTGAGTCACTGTACATACATATGTATGTATGTATATACCAAAACGCTCAGAATGAATACAGTAGTCGATTAAGCCATGTCTGTCTGTCCGTGTACACGATAACTCGAGCAAGAATTTAGATATCTCGACGAAATTTGGTGCATAGGTTGCCCTTTATAGGTATGTTGGTATTGAAAATGGGCGAAATCGGACAATAACGCCCACCTACCATATAACTGTATTTTCGAAAAATGCGCAAACTGCGACATTTCTGTTAATACTGTGTCCAAATTGTTGAAAATTAGTATGTCAATTAGAATTTGGGCATAAAATAAGGCAATTTTAAAATTTTTGGACACCGCCGACTTATAAAGAATTGTTGCAACTCAGTAGCCGCTTCACCAAGCTCGATACGAACATTTCTTAGAGTGAAAGTAAGAAACTTGTTGAAAATTTTCGAAATCGGACGTTAATCACACCCATCTGCCATATAACGGTAATTTACAGAAACCGCGATAAATCAGTAACCAAAGAAGCTGCTTCACTCAAAATCGACTTTTGCAATAATATTTTAGCAATAAATGAGATTATTGCAAAGTTTTGTAAAATGGGCGTGGCATCGTCCGTTTATGACTACATTTTTGTTGTATCTCGGTACAGTTATTGCTCTTGGTACAAAAAAATATGTTGCAAATTTTTAAAATCGGACTAAAATAACGCTATTTTCTTATATAATGGTAAATGTCAGAAATATAAAAAAATATCAACGCTAATTAATACTTAAAACCATATCTTAACAAGAAAGATAATTTTATTTTCGATTTTTGGAAAGTGGGCGTGGCGCCGTTCACTCATGACTACATAGGTTTATCTCGGTAAGCGCTTTATCGGTTTCTGCCAAATTCGTTTCAATTACTTCATTAAGTCTGATCGAGCATGCTATCGAGAATGTTTGAAACACGGAAAAAAAACACACTCTTGCTTATAATGTACTTTATAGAAAGGTAAAAAAAACTTCATATAATACATGCGCCGGGTATATAAAGTTCGGTTTCTTCCGAACTTATACATTTTTACTTGCTTTTTAATGACCCTATGTACATATGTTTATAGAATATATATGTATATAATAAAAATGCATACATATGTGACAGAGAATTTTGCAGAAAGTTTATTGAAAACAAGGGTGTTAGTATATTCTCAAAAAAATAAAATAAATAAAAACCAAAAAAAAAGATAAAATTAAAAAAACGAAAAAAAGATAAACCTTCAGAAATGGTCACAACTCAAAATTTCATGTATTGAAATTATATAGCGGATTAGGTTGATAAATAGCCATCGACATATGTTTACTTATTATTAGTGTTGGCAAAATTTTAATTCGATTAAAGATTAAAAATTAACGGTACTAAAGTTAATTTTCGATTAATGATTGAAATAAATTAATCGTAGCCATCTGTGCTATTAATGACTAAATTGTTATAATCGTCAATCGACGGTTTTGATTACGCTTAATTAATTTCAATCTTTAACCGTTAAACCAATTAATAAAGTCTGACTGAGTAGTGTAGTTTGTCCAAATTTGTAATCAAGCACTAGTTACAATAATTTTTATTTATGTTTAATGCTTTAAAAGAGCACATAATGGGCGTATTCTTGTTTTCGTATGAATCATGAAATTTTCTTATCATTTTCTATACAAAAATTTCAAATTTTTGATTCGTACGAAATCCAGAATATGCCGCAATATTTATATAAAAAAATTGTGTAATCATTATTAGTAATCCATACACTGAGAATTATTACTTTCCATCGCACATATACAGAAGGATATTTTAAACCTAGTTTTAATAAAGTCTGTTTGTAACAAATCATAACCACAATGCACACCAAATTGCTTAGATTTTTAGAGGGAAACCGTCTTAGCCCTACCCGATTAACTGACCTTGTGTGCACAAGACCATTTCAGCGTGAATTCATTTATCACCAAATCTACTTAATCAAATTAACAGTTAGTGATTAAATTAAATTTTCTAATCGCGGGTACGATTAACTGTCTAACCAGATTTAATTGAATCATGATTAACTCTAATTCGATTGAATTTAACTAATTGATTAAAAAATCAATCGATTAGTGCCAAGATTGCTTGTTACCAATGCGAAAGGGAGCGCAATTGTGCCATTTATCAGAAAATCGAATTTGATAACTCTTACTACTGAACAAATCTCTAATCCTTGCGTAATCTTTGCTAAATTTTTATAATGCAATTATATTTTGAAAGCTTACAAATTTTCCCTACGAATGACTTCAAATTATAAAACGTGAAAAGTTTAATTGGCACTACTGAAAATTGTTATAGTTTGAGTTGAGTCCTTTTTGCAGCAGACTATCGATATCGAGCCAATAAGACTCGTGGGAGAATCTAAAAAAAAGTGAAACATAAGCTGTATGTATATGAGGGTAATAAGAGTTCAATATGATTCATATTGAGGCTCATTTGATGGAGAAATGAAACACCTTCAATTTGGACTCTTAGGGCCGGTTACTCAATGGCTGGTTAACACTAATCTCCGCTTGAACATTGTTGTCGACGTTACCGACTCCATGTTATATGCATGAAATTGAGTAATCGGCCCTTAAATGAGCTCATTATGAGGGTAAACAATGCGAACTAGGATTCCTAAGTTACTCATTTGTGACTCCAAATGTTTTGCAGGGATCAGGCGTAGATTTTTTTTTTTCAAATACTTCTGCTAAGTTTTCATATACTTTCTCTCTCTCTTTCTTTCTTTTATATACAGTTGCGAGGAACTTGTAGAAAAAAGCGATAATGGCGCAGAAACTTATGCCATTCCGAAATATTCACATTTGGAAATGTGCGAACAAGTGAATCCATGGAGTAGCACCGTAATAATTGTTATTCTTTGCGGTGTAGTTGCCTCTCTGGGATTGATTGTTCTAATTGTACATGGACTGCGTCGTTTCTATAAACCAGCACGCCCACGTATAAAGAAGACATTCGTCGTGCGCAAACAGGCTTCCCCTTCAACGGATACACCGCTAACGAATCGTCCCATTGCCACTGAACAATGTGAAATTACAATAGAAAATTGCTGCAACATGAACATTTGTGATACGGTAAGTTACATTAATGTACATAGATTAGAATATTTAGGGCTGTTTTCTCAAGTACGTTTAAAGTTTATCAGCGCTTTAAAAACACATCCTATTCTGAAAAAAAATGTGTTTGAAGGACAGATAAATTTTGAAGCACTTCTTTAGAAACCCCACAATTAGACTCTTATAACCTTTGCCAAAATGACTTAAATCTTAAACAGACGGCAGCGTTGATCCGGACTAACTCGGACTTAATCCGGATCAACTGCAGTTAATGCTCGAATTCCCGATTTGATCCGGATCAACGCTGCCGTCGGTTTATGCTTTTACTTCGTATGAAATCAAATGTAGCGCTGTTCGCCTTCATAGCTTTTGCAGCTTCTGCAGCATCTAAGAATCAGTACGAGTACTTCTACCCGTTATGCATGTTTATCTACATACCCTTTAGACCTTTTACGGTCCCAGCTAAGCAAAGTTTGTCCAGAGATTAAGCAGGGCGTACCTTGTATTCGTATTTCATTTGCTTTTAAGTTCAGCTTTCAAATGGCCAAAGGCATAGTTACCCTCATCAGCGGTCGTGTCAGTCCTAACTCGAACTCATGAGATGATGGGAGACCGTGCCCCCTAAAGAGTTGATCAAAAATCGGTACAAAAACCGTATTAATTGAACAATAACAAAAATGTGTGCTTATTCTGAGAGAGTATAACTATGAAATAATTACAAGCAGTGGTACCAGAGGCAGTGGAAAATAAGCTAAAAAAGTCAGCACTTGTGTGCCGAAAAATTTAACAGCGCCTCTACAAGTTCTAGTGAACGGTACCCATTAAATTTATTTAAAAAAATTTTCGCTCAAACCTTCCCTGGCGGCCTATTTTGATATCTTAAGAGACTAATTTCTTGCAGGGAATGTGGGTCGAGAAGCAGCTCGCTGCCAACGACGCTCCAATGACGGAGTTGGTCCTCTTTCCACAGCCCAGAAGACGAGGAGAAGGAGGAAGTATCGGGGGGGGGCGAAACGCAAGCAAGGGAAACCCTCTTTTGTGGCTGGCTGAACTCCTCCTGTCGCTGCATTCAGTAAGCGGCCCAGGTCAACGGAGATTATTCCAGAAGCCAGTGCGACCTTGGTGGATGTACCGACTTTCAAATCTGCTAGCGAATGTTGCAAGAGAAGGAAAACTGCGTTGACGCCCACCAATGGCTGCCCCACTGCCTCTTCGAGTCATAGTGTGGCGGATACACTGGTGTGGCATTGCCCAGTTTCGATCAGCCAGGCAGATCTCTGGCGCCAAGAAACGCTTGGATGGAGGGTATGCGAGAACCACAGTGTCAATGTACTACAAATGCTTTGTTGGCATAACTGTGGCTAATGAAGATGCCCTAAAATATGCTATTGAGTTTTTTGGCAGTCTCAAATCGCCCGATCCGGATGGCATCCTACCTATTGTACTTAAAGAAGTTGGTGACCTTGAAAAAGATTTTCACAGCATCGCTGGCACTTGCTTACGTACCACAACCTTGGAAGCTGGTTGATGTCGCCTTTGTTGTTGGTAATTAATTCTAATTCCAGAACGTTTGACCCATCGGACTTGATTTTTACTATCAAGAAAACTATACTTTCCTCTCTTAATAAATAAAATAATATCTTTAACATATGCATTTAGTTGATGAATTGAATTATGTAGCTGACTAGGCCCCTCGTATCGCTTGGGGTTGAGCGGGAGAAGGGTAAACTTGTTGGGATTAGTCAATTCTACATTATTTTATATGGTTGTGGAATACGTGAAAAGCTCGAAGTTTTATTATTTCGTGACCATGATCACGAAATTGAATTTGCGTTCCATATTATCGGAGGTTTCCGGGAACTAGTTTTGGCTTTCCTGCGGAGGTTGTTATTTCCTTTTTGATGATAAGGGAATATTATCCACATTGAGTATGTACTTTTTGTACAAAAGTCGTGATGGAAACATTTGGATTTTTTCAGAAAGAGCTGACCACTTTTTGATCACTTTCTTGTTATACAAATCCTTTCAACTTTCCTTTCCGAAGACAATCCCTCATCAAATATTTTAAGTACAAAAGCTACCTCTCAATTTACATCTTCTAAAGTTTAGCAATGGTTTTGTAAGCTAAACTCGGACAAATAGTTTTCTTTATTGAGTTGCCACTCTTTTAATTTGCTTTGTAGCCAAAAATGAAGCAAATCTGATTGAATCGCTTTGGTTTAATTTGTTTATTTTATTAAAAAATCAGTACCACAACAAATTTCACAAGTTCTGACTCTTTGGTTGTCTTGTTTTTTAATTTAAATTATTTGCTTATTAGAATACACAGTGCGACAGTAAATTTTATAGTAAAACTACGTACTTAGTTTTTTTCTCTTTGACGTCAGGATTTTTTAAAGGACTTTGAAATTTAAAAAAAATATGATTATTTGATTTTTTTTAATTCAGTGCAACGTAGAATAACAATAATCATATAAAAGAAAAAATTCTGTAGAATTATAAGAATAAATATTTTTGGTGCATAACGAAGAATGGGTGTGGAAAATGTCCACAACTGTTCAACTAGCCTTTAAAGTGAGTGTAACGGCGCGTCTCCACAGGCAACAATTTTTGCCCACCAACTGACATTTTGATTGGATAAAAGATTTATCAGTTGCAAAATTTGTGTATGGGCATATTTTTATCTTGTTAAACGCACATCCCACATGACGCCACTAGAAAATATTCTGCTTATTTTAACGCATAGAAATTTTGAAATTTTGTACGATGTTACTACTAAAGGTGAGATCACACGATTGCCGTAATATGCCAATTATTGCGTAAATCGAGGCCGATATTGTTCTTATTGTGCCCAATCGAACATAAACCGGGTGCAAGAACAATTTGCGTGTGACTGTACAGAATTTAATTTGGACAAATTGTTTATTGTGCACCAATTCAGCACACAAAAAATCTACCAGATTGGTGCATTTGCGACAATCGTGAGATTCCAGCTTAACACGCTTTCTTTCAAACTAAAAAATTTGCCGTAAAATTAGCAAATTGACAGTTAATGGCAGGCTGCATTTGTCGAGATAACAGCTCTGACAATAAGTTTGTTCGTCGAAAATCCAGCAAGAATTATCCAACACTCAAAATATTCGAGCAAATTCTCTCAAATTCTCTCTCATGTTGAGAAACTTGCAAATTTCAGTACGAAGGCAAATTTGCAGGAATTTGCAAGTTGCCCTGCCAGCTGGTGTCCACGGTTTGCAACTTCACTCCAGGAGAACTGTCACTTTGCGCTCTCAGTTTTTGAGTGATGGATAATTTTTTGGTCTGCACGAACGCGATTTGGGCAAAAATCATGATAATTCGTACAAGTTTTTTGATTGACGAACAAACCTAATTAATGCTTTCCATGAGCCGCTATTGGCAATATATTTTTCGCATAACATTATCAACATAAAAACTATTGCCTGTGGAGACGCCCCCCCGTAAGAATGAAGAATGATAACTTCGCATAAATTTTAAACTGTAATTTATAAATTACATACTTTGTATGCACTCCATTACCCAGAAATTAACAGAACTTACTTAGCGATCTGTTCCTATGTTTTGCAACTTAAAGATAGTATGTATCAATTAACATAGAATTCTCCGCAGAAATCCGCCGACTCTCGAATTTCCCACTTACTGCCGGTTTCATCATCAATTTGTATAAGTGAAAATGACCTTTCCCTTCTGTCAGTTAAAAAAAAAATTCACTTAAAGTGCTTTCGCCAAACTGGCTATATTCAACTTAAATTTACTACATAGTATATCAGGGAATTTCGCACGAGCTGGTTGTCCGAATTAAAAATTATGAGCGGTGTGTATTAACAAATAAATACCCAGCTGATCTAGATTACATTCTTATCTATGAAAATTTCCCGCTTTTCGGCAAATCCCAGCGCAAAAAATAATTTCCATGAATTTACATGCAAACAACGTAAAAACCAGAAGGTGAAACAGTTTTTTGTGGCATTATGCCTTCTATGAAAATATTATTACAATATTTATTTACATTTAACTGATTTGCGATAAGGTGGATTAAATCTGTTCTAATAAACGTTTCGTCGAAAAAAAACTAGAGTTCATGGGTTGAATAACTGAAATCGGTTTTTAAGTGAACCTAGAGAATATATTAATGTGAAATTTCTAATCCGGTAGAGATTACGAGACTTTTATTCCTTTAAGTTTTATCCATCAAACTTACGTATACAGTTAAGCCACGCTTATCGCGAACTTGTCATTTGGACACTGATCGTTTTCTGGGTATTTACAGAACTGCACATATTGATGAAGTCAGAGGCTCGGTTAGATTAAGCTGGTAATTTGTAATTGGACTCACCCGAGCCCAAAAATTTTATGTTTCAACGGAAATTATAAGCTTAACACGAATTGTTAAAACTATCGCATTTCTAAAATCTATACTTACTAGGGCTGTGCGATTATTCGATTACTCGATCAAGTTGGTTAATCAGTTATTCGGTTAATCAATTACTCGAATAATCAAAATTTTGATTACCCAAAACGATGATTAATCGAGTTACTTGAAATATAATTACTCAAAAAAATTAATTTTGCTCGTTAAAAGAGTTTGCTTTGGAAAAGGCTTATTTTCTTTTTTACACTCTGTATACCAAGGTGTATTAAACAAGGTGGTGTTGGGGCGACAGCTGAGTTTTTCGCCGTGGAGGCCATTACGTCAAAATGATGTGTTTGTTGTAACTCATACCAATGACAGTATGGACATCAGCGTATAATTTGTTAGTGTAATTTTTTACGTATATACGGCCAACACCACCTTGTTAAATACGCCTTGCTGTATACGAAAAAAAATTTATTTTAATTTTTGAAAGCAGAAACGTTGTTTTCAAAGTATCAAGGAACTTCAACTACTTTATATGTAAAGAGTACTTTGAAATGCTGATTATTCATTTTACTCATAATGTTGATTAATCATAAAGCAAATTACTCAAATATTTTTGTTTTTGGTTAATCAAAATCTTGATTACTCGAGTAACTGAACTTTTGAGTAATCATAATTTCCAATTAATCGAATAATTGACTTATTTACTTTATGATTAATTAAAATTATGAATAATCAATTAATCGCACAGCCCTAATAACACATCTCGAAATTTAAATTTATTTTAATAAATTTTATTAAAAATTTTCAGCCATGCTTCGATTCAAAGCTCCTGGAAAAAACACTCTCACGCAACTCCAAAGTCAAGGAGGACAAGAAAATGCTTATAAATGGCATGGAAGATGAACTTTATTAGTTAAGCATTAAATAGCGTGCCATCAAAGCGAGGCGCTTGCGATGCGGATACAGTACGCGCGGTCAGGGACTGGCATACTTCTTCTGCGCGCAACAAACGGAGAACATCTACAAGAGGCCTTATAGAACGAAATTTCCAGAAAAAAAAAACACACAAAAAGCAAAAGAGCATGCAAATGTAGACACGACAACACGATGGAGAAGAGGAAATGCCAATGAGAGATTCAAAGTACGACGTTGAGTAGGAAGAAAATAGAGAGAAGAGTGTCTGACGCCACGGACAAATGTAGTTAGTACAAGTTCCTCGTCCGTAGCAGCAGGCTGCAGAAGTGCAACCATGGATAAGCTTTAAATAGAGTACACACGGCAAAAAAAAAAAAAAGTCACAACTACTTAGTTCAATTCATGTACTTATTTTTGTTTTATTTGCATTGACACCATTGTCTTAATTTTTATGTACTTACGTATGTTCATTAAATAGTAATTTCTTATACATATACTATGTACATACGAATATCGTACGTTTATCTAATAATTTTGAATTACTTCTCTATATTATTAAACGTGCGATATGTACATACATATGTATATTTTTTTCAATTTTAGCGCAAACTATTAATAGCTGACTAAAGAAAATCCTTTTAGTTGAATTTTAACATATGAATTATTTATTACTACTAAATTCGCATATAATTTTAATTTGCAGTTTTAAGAATTGATTGTATGAAAAGTGAAAATCAATTAAGGCTGTATAAACACTTTGAAAAAGTGTTGCGTAAAGTTGTGAATTTAAATTTTGTTACTTAAATAATAAAAAGAATTTGCACTAATACCAAAAACTGCAGCCAATCGTATTAAATGCAGAAATATATATGTACGTATTTTTTTCTTCAAACAAAAATGGGAGCGTTGAAAAAGGTCGGTTCTCTTCAACACAGGTTTTCAGCATTTTGAGTTCCTATATATGGGTAATTTCCAAACAAAATGCAATTATTTTGAGTGTGTTCTAAGTGAATTTATCATTGCACCATGGTAAGTACGGCCGGCTAAATAAGTATTTCCGGAACATCACCCATATTTATGCGTAAAAACACAAAAAAAGGAAAGCGGCAATCAAAGGCGACATTTCTTGGTAGAAGCGAAAACACCATAAGACAATTACCACTAGTCTGTTTATTGCTTAATGAGTTTCAATGATTTCCTTGTTTTTATATTTTCGTGAAATAAAACTCTCAATCTAAGACCCCATTTTATGTACCGATAGTGTGAATCAACACTATTTTTCGAAATGCGAAATTCCGAGCCGATATTGTGCTGACTGTAAGCAACCAAAATTAATATTACTGTACCGATAATGTAAACACTGGGCCGGTTCGAGGCACATAATAAAAGCGGCAATACTGCAGCAGTGATGAAAATTTGCAAAACTGTTGCAACTTCCCGACTGATAAAACATTGCTAGAAATTCACAACGAACGTGCTGCTTTAATAATTCGCGAAACACTGCGATTGTGAACAAGCCCCCTCTTTTGCTTATTATAGAACAATCAAATTGTAAAAAACGCGGGTTTATTATTTAACTTATAGGCTAGTTACGTTTTATTCTTACCTCGTCTATTGTGTCAAAGCGACCACCTGGCAAACTATCAATGATGAAATTTATGCATTTATCCACCTACATGGCTTGATAAAGTGATAAACTTTGGTTAAATAGATTCCATACAGAGTTTGACAGTTCATTTATCAAAATGATAAATTTATCCTTTTATCAAGTTTATCAGCAGTTTATCATTTATGAGTACACAGTTTTGTAACTCATTCAATTTTAGTTTAATAAAGTGTAAGTTGGAAGTAGTCAGAATTTACCGTTCACATGTTGCAATTTCTAACGGTTTTGTGCATTTTCTTCCATACAAAGCCTATTCGACGATTTTTTTTTATATATGGAAGAAAACAATTTTAACAAAAAAAAGATGCCAAAAATATGATCTCATTTTCTAAAACATTTCTGAGTATGCAGTTTTATCATTATAGTATAATAAGGGCAAGTTTTAAGACTTTAAAAAATTGCGTTAATTTTTAGTATTTTTTTTTTGCAGATGGCCTTATGCGGTGATTTCATAGTTAATATAAATATTTTATGAAATAAATGTGCAAGACCATTTAGAAAAAAAATTACACTAAATCCGTGCAAGTTTTCACAATTTGCATGTATGTATATAAAAACTAAAATTCTTCAGTTGCAAATTCCTTTAAAACCTTGCTTTCTAACAAACACTGAAACAAACTAATTTATATAGCAGCTGTTTTTGAATTATATTAGGTCCTTACTTAAAAAAAGATTGGTGCCGGGTAAGGTTAATAAGGGTAGGCATGCGAAATAAGCGGGGTTGCATGCAATTTCGAACGCAAAAACTTAAAATACAATGGCTGTCAAATTTTGTCTTCAACCAAACCAACCAACACCTATCAAACATATTTTTGAGTTCTTAATATTGTTTTCTCGACCGCGAAAAAAGACGTGTAAAAAAATACGGCGAAGGAAATTTAAATTAATATTAATTAATTTATAAATCAATAAATTAAGTGATTAAAAAAGAAATAAATAAATGGTTGCATACATTTAGGTATTCTTTAAAATTTTCTAAACAATGGGGGCTAAAAGAAACGAAAAAAAATTTTTTTTATTTGTTTTTTGATCTATGATAAATTATCTTATTAGATAATTTTTAGATTGGGTTAGATTTTACAAAGCGAAATTACTTGATTTCAGCATGATTTGCTTATGAATTACAAACGAGCCGTAAATTACGCTTTGCGAGACAGTCAGCCCTTTCGTTGCCTTCAAACCATTCATGCCCCGGAACCCACCACAACAGCGTTACGCTATTGCTGCCTGAATATCCGACATACAATTTATTCTGGCCTCATTTGCCTTCTACGATGATATTCGCTAACAGATACTTCGATTGCGAAGACCTTCGCCTGGAATATAGTTGTGTACGAGTCCACTGGCAGACTTTTTTTTTGAATTTCGGTCCAAGTATTCCATAAAATATATATGGATGTTCATATTGTATATTGGCAGTAATAAGGGTATACGTTTCTAGTTAGGAATCACATACATGTTTGCGACCGCCGTTATACGAACGCGTCGATGAAATATTCGCGTAAAATAGGTTGCTGAAACGTTTGGAGATATGTACATATTTTCTATTTTTCGCAAATAACTATTACTCATTGGCACGGAGCCTTAAAGCCTACCAACCTACCTATTTGGATAGGAAAAGGTATGTGTGGCAACACTGTTTCATTGGAATCCACTACCGGAAGTACAGAGTGATAAACACGGGTTCTCACCCTGTACTTCCGGTAGTGCATTTGGTCCCAACCGATATTTGGTCCCATGTAAATATCCCATCCCAAGTAACTGTAAACTAAACCTTACGGTAAGGGTAACTGTAACCAGTAATTTAAACTCTAATTGTGCGCTCTTATTCCAATTTTCACATTTTAAAAAAATTACACTTTTTATTGATTCCTTAGCTGTTAATTCACAAATAATTATGTACCATGTTTACTTAGAAATACCATTTGAGCCACTTTTCTGAAAGCATCTGCTATACACTATTTCTTAAAATTTCTTAAGCATTTTTTTAATAATAGTCCAAGTGCACCTACACTATAAAATATATTATACAATTTCGTTTTTCGCGAATAAGTTCGTGATCCAAACAGATATTTAAGAAAGATATTTAAGAATCCAATAGATTAAAGGACACTGTTTCTTTATTCCAGCGACGATATAGCATATGTATAGCTCATTCTATAACATAAACCATATAAATCTAAGTTTCACAATTCATATAAAGTTCACAGAAATTCAAATTTGCAAATTTGCAATAGAAAATTTTCAAGTATGCGGTTTTGTAGACCATTCAGTATTTTGCATGATTAAAATCTATTTTTATATAAAAAAAATCCGCAACGCCCAAAAAAAAATTCTAAATAATGAACATAATTTTTAGTGACTTCAAACTTGCTTTATCAGACTAAAATTGAATGGGCTACAAAAAATTCGCAATACCCACAAAAAAAAAACTTAAATAATGAAACATAATTTTTAGCGACACACTGCATACTTGAAAATTTTCTCAAAATTCTGAATAAATAGTTTGAAATTTTGATGGTTTTGATTAATTTTTTTGAACTATGTGCAAGTTTAAATTTGAAACTTTTATTTATGTGGTTTCTATTATAGATCGTTTTATATTTTATATGAAAATTATTAAAAATAAATAATACCACTACCGCTGTGGTTATAGAGGTAAACAGTGCGTGCTTCCACTCCGCAGCGCTTCGGTTCAAGCCCTGGTTAAAGCAACATCGCAAAAAAATTTAGAAGAAAGGTTTTTTTCTTAACAGCGGCAGGCAATGGCAAACCTCTGAGTGTATTTCCATGAAAAAATCTTCTCATTAAAATACAATCGCCGTTCGGAGTCGGCGTAAAACTGTAGGTCTCTCCTCTTTGTGTGACAACATCAAGGCACACGCCACACACCGGAGGAGAAGCTCGGCCAAATACTAACGTATGTGCAAGCGCCAATCTATTATTGTTACTGTTATAAATAAATAGCATTTTGAATTTTGCTACTATCTTATTGACCGCAGCTGTATGTATATATATCAACATGACGTCGATGAAAACGCCGATTTGCTGTGTGACGGGATGCGTGTCTGACGGGCAATCTAGAAGCCGAAATCACCAAAATAGTTGGGCCGAGACGTGCAACGTGATACCATCAAACACTGCCAATTTGTTTGCCTGTCAACGCCATTTTTGAGCCTCACTTTGTAATGAATTCTAAGCTTTTAAAAGCGGCTTTTCCCTCACTAAAATTAGAGCCCGTAAAAACATCTAGGAGTCGCTCACCTAGTTTTGTTCCTGTAGGTTCAAGAGCAAATTTAAATGAATGTTTAGAAGAATTTATCGAATTTGAGCAACCAAACATCTGCGGCGTAGACTTTCGACTCCACAACCAGCGACGAACAATTTAAATTAAAAAAATAATAGATTTAGAAGAAGAAATACAGAAACTCAAAAAATTATACGCTTGGGCAATTATACCTGATGCTTCTGCTAGTATCAACGCTATTAATTTTGCGAAAATGATCGTGAATAGTGGTAACCAAGTTTCTTACAGTGAGGAAGAAAAGGCCTTGGCCCTAAGTATTGATTATATATCTACAAAAATGTTTTCTTTTATGCGTGACGATTTGGGTTTTGCTTTACCAGATCGAACATCTCTTTTGCAATGGCGACCCGTTCGGCATGTCGTTCCGGGGTTAGATGCAAATGGCGTTGAAAACTTGCGCCAACTTGTTC